ACTTTGACTCAAAGTTTGAGGCACAAAATGAGAAGGATTGTGTGCAAAATAACTATGAGTTAAGGAGTTATGACCCTTGCTATTGCTATATTGAAAAAATACAAAACTGCCGCGCGTCATTTTAAAAACGTCAAAAAGGCGGCATGAGTAATTTTGTCTCAGATATAGTCTAGATCAATCATTTGGGCATGATAAAGGTGTCTTAAAAAACATTTTGTTAGTTAAAGCTAATTTAAAAGAAGACAGAGGTGAAAAATTGGAAGTCTGGTTTTTCTAGCAATGTACAATTTTCTTTATACGAATATGCTTCAGAGAATGAATGGAATGTTCAAAAGATAGAACTGAAATCAGTTCCCTTGACATCAAAGAAAGAGAGGTCAAAATCTCAAAAGAAAGAACAGCTTGAAGAAAGGACATGTGCAGTGCATAACTAACTTCAAAGGCCATGATGAAATAAAACCCCTCACTGAGAGACGCTGGGACACCATTCAAAAATCAAAAACACAACGGTGCCTTGCAGAAACTGACAGTGATAGACTATCCTCAATTTGTGAAAGAATACCAACTGAGTTTGACTGCTCAACATGGGTTTCATGATTACTGCTACAATACATTCATCAATTTGAGGAGTCTAAGAAAAAGGCATTCATCAGGAGAGTCTGACAAATCAGCACAAGAAGGGTCTTGCTCCACTAGGAAAAAGGTAAAGCAATCGTTTTCAACACGCCTCTTGTCCATTTAATGCCTTTTCTGTGAAAAGACTACTAAATGGACACATGACAGCATGGGAACCAAGAAAGTTCATAAACTAGTCAAATATGTTAACAGAACATCTGAAGCCTCTGTAAAAGAAGCTGTAAACAGGAAAACTGAATCAAAACTTCGGGGCCAAATTGAAAATGCTGTTCTTATTGCCCAAGAGACATTGTATCATGAACCATGTAGAAAAGCTTACACACGTAAGGAGTATCGACGTTCACAAGCTTCTACATCTAAATACTGTTTTGGAGAAGAAAAGACAGAAGCTGAAGAAAGAAAGAAAGCTCCAGCTGCAGAGGAAGAAGCCCACTCCAAGGCTTTTCAGCACGTCCGTCAGTTTGTGGAAGAACATGTCACTGCGCTGGCCCTTGTTGTTAGGATATTAGTCTTTTGAAAGAGATGTATTGCACTTTCATGCAAACAAATTATCCAGAGTTTTACATGTACTACAAGACATATAAGTTGAGGAGAAACTTGTGAAGCACTTCAAGTCCAGGATCAACTTCTGGCAGAGATATTCTGGGATAAGTGATCTCGTGTACTCTGATGAAATTTCAACTGGGCAGGCTGTCGGAGTTGCCTTTGAAAATGTAACCTCTGAAGAGAGACTTGTTATAGAAGTGGCAAAGGTGATACGACGACCTGTTCTTGATGGATGCAATGAAAGTGAAAAGTTACCTTGGCTTTCAGCAGACACAGATCTTCGCACAGAAACTTAGCAGATTCCACATGTATGTACAATATTTATTTCCTTTCTTTACTCTAAGAATGGAAAACCACAGTCAACAAGATGCCACAGGAGAGTTGTTTCTACAGGTCAGGACATATGTTACAATGTGACGAAAGGGGAAAGGAAAAAGCCTCAACATATCATGATTGGTATATGTGTCCGTCATCCAACAGGAAACACTGAGCTGATCAATATCTTAAACCAGCATGGACATTCTGTATCCCACTCATTTCTCTTAGAAGTGGAAACTGCCATGTGTGACAGTATACAGCTTTCTTCCGGTAGTTTGGCCCCATCCATCATGCCTGACAACAACCTCATCACTCACTTCTGTTGGGACAATTTTGACTTGAATGAGGAAACTTAATCAGGAACTGGATCCACACATTCAACTCATGGACTAGTCATACGAGAAATCAAAGAGCAGCCATACATTCCCCAGCCGACACCAGAGGTTGACAGAACAAAGAAAGGATCAATCCATATTTCAAAAAACAGCTTGACCCGTGTTTTATCAATTCTAAGGTGGAACCCACCTTGATAACAAACAGAGTATCAAAGATTTCAAAGTGCTCCATATGAATAATGAAAACAAAAGGCAACTGACACAGTTCTTACTTAATGTATGGCAACAACATTGTTATGCAATGATGTTGCTGAACAGAGAAATATACTTTGCGAGTGACCAACAGTGCTTTGTCCTCAGTAGCAGTGATGGAAAGACGACAGACTCAAGACCTGTTCCACAGTTACCCTCCAGCCATGAGGAAGCAGACACTTTGCTGATCGTGCATGCCATCTTCTCTGATCAGAACATTGCTACTCCAAACACAGACATCATTATTCGGTCCCCAGACACTGATGTCTTTCTACTGGTGATTGCATTTGTTCAACATTTCACACACAGCTTGAATTTTGACACGGGTTGGGAAAAAGAAGATGTCTACACATTCAGACTCTCTGTTCCAAAATGGAAACACATTTACAGGATTCTATTCTTGGACTCCATGCATTCTTTGGATGTAAGGAGTCTAGCGATTTTGTCCAGAGAGGAAAGGTGAAGCCGCTCACCATTCTCCACAGGCACCCAGAGTTTGCTGTTTCATTCAGGGAGCTAGGAACATCTGAAACTGTTTCTTCAGAACTGTTTTCCAATCTGGAAAAGTTTGTTAGTCACCTGTACGGAAAACCAGCTTACTCTAGCGCTAACAGGTTTCATCATGAGCTTGTAAGGCTAAAGTACATGGCAAAAGGTCAAAGCTTACTGTCATGCTTTGATGGATTTGACACCATGCGAGAGAAGCCCTGAAGCTGACATCCTAGGCGTAAACTATTAATAGTATTAAACTTTAATATGGAAGCAAGCACATCTGGCTTAACCATTAATACAAATGTACCTGATCCGCAAGATCTTGGTTGGAAGAGAGATAATGGTGGAGTGCTCTCAGTGGAGTGGTGCAAAGACTTGGTCCCTCATCAATTGGTTGATATTTTGTCAGGATCAGATACAGAACAAGAGGAAGACAAAGATGAAAACCATCTCCTCTATCATATGTGATGAAGAAGATGAGATTTCAGATTCTGGAAGGGACAGCAGTGAAGATGAACTGATGACATAGAAAGCATCTAAATAAGACTTTACATGCAACATCAACTGACTTACAGTATAACATTTGGATAACTAGCACCCAAGCAACGCACTTCTGTTACATATTATGCTCTATGCAAGTCAATTTCTAGATGCTATAATCTCTTTCTCAATTATATAAATTTCTTTGTACGAGACAACTCAATATAATACATCATGTACACAAATAGCAAATATCCATCTGCATTGCTAAGGCCTGTCTGTAACTCTGCATTGTACTGATTTTCTGTTGAACTAATGTGTTTTGCATGTGTAGCTTTTCCTTTGTTGTGTAATACCCAGCAGGGAGTATGTTACGCTAACTTTGTGCAGCTGTTTTAAATTTTTTAGAGAAAACGGACTTAAAACATTATTTTTTTCTCTATAAGCTATGTAAATAACTACCACAAAATGTTCAGTATAACTGTTTTTCTTTAACCCACAACGCCAACTTAGTCTCAATTTTTAAAAATCAGAATACCAACTAAAAAAGTGAATTTTTAAAAAAAAGTTAATTTGCTCAATTTTCGACAATTCAGGGGCAATAACTCCGCAGATTGCCAACATTTTGGTGCAAACTTTTTTTTGTGCATAGTCCTGAGTGTGCTCTTTCAGAAAATCATAGTGAGCAAAAATCCCCAGGGGAGGGGGAGGGGGGGTTACAGTAGCCCATAGTCTATATAGTCAGTAATGATCACTGCTCGCTGATGGCTTGTGTTCTTGATCCAGTGTAGAGCCTCACTTATGGCTTTTATCTCCATACATACTTGATGTTGTCAGTGTAGTTGCTTCACTTTGCTCTTTCACTACTACCCCATCAACTCTGACACTGAAGGCCCAGCCCGATTTGACTCCTCTGTTGACTGATCCATCTGTGGAGATCACAGCATCTCAATGTTCGCTATGCTCTTCTATCAGAGTTTCAATGTCGGCGTTTGTAGCTCCAAGTGGCCAGTTGCGACATTCTCTACCCAATGTTGCCTTCACTGGTGTGTACTCTCCGAGCACATCTTCGACCACAACCCAATCCCTGCTTCTCCTGATGTCTTGTATCTGGTAGCACTCGTTGATGGTATTCGTGGCTTGAATAGTCCATCAATAATTCTCCATCAAAAATCTGTACGACAATCCTTTATCTCCACAGTGCATGAGACGTGTCTTATCAACCAGTCCACCATTCATTCAATCAGCCCATAAATATATTATTCTCCATCATATCGTATTGTCTCTATTAGATGACAGTCCACTGTTTCTCCAGTGCATGAGAGGCTTCCGGGAGTTTTTATATAATAAATAAATATATACCTTTAGTTTCTATCAATCCATCAGTTCTTCATCAAACATTGTAACAAGTATATATACGACAGTCCTCTATTTCTCTGTTTCTGTTCTAATTACAAATAAATAGCATTTCTATCTATCAGTGCATCAACCGTTCTTAATAATAAATAATAGATGGCATTTGTATAGCGCATAAACCCGCTCTAAAGCAAGCTCTGTGCGCTTTACACTGTATTAACCCATCAGGCCAGAAAAGACTCATTCTCAGTTTCCCGGGAAGCATACAGGGCAAGCAGCTAATTAAGCGCTCAAACACTAACAAACTGACAATCTTCTATTCTTCTTCTTCTATCCCGTGGCCGTGGGGGCACCAGTGCATCTGAAAACCAGCTCTCACCTTTTCTCTTTGTCCTCTGCTTTCCTCGGATTGTCACCCACCGTTTTCCCTGTCCACTCATTGATGTATTCCTCTCATCTCCTTCTCTGCCTTCTTCTCTTTCTCTTTCCTTGTACGGTTCCTTGTGGGATTGTATTGTCAAGTCCTGTGTGACAATATCTTTCATCAAACTTGACCATCTCTACTACAATCCTCTGTCTCCCCAGTGCATGAGAGGCGTCCTGAAGTGTAAACGTGAGCAGAGCGTGGTCGGACTCAGCCAGAAGGTGGACTGTTGTCAGAAGTACAAGATGTGCTACCTCGTCTGCCGACCCGACGCCGAGTCCGTGCCACCGTGAGTCACGCAGGCAAACACACATGTCACGCAGGCATACGCACAAATTACGCGGGCATACTCACAAGTCACGCGGTCTTACATACATGTCAAGCAGAAATACACTCACTCAAGTCATACAGACATTCACACATGTCATGCAGGCACACACACAAATCACACTGGTATATACTTAAGTCATGCATGCATACACACATATCACGCAGGCAAACACAAATGTCATGCAGGCATACACTAAAGTCATGCATGCATACACACATGTTACGCAGGCATACGCACAAATTACGCGGGCATACACACAAGTCATGCGGGCATACACACAAGTCATGCGGTCATACATACATGTCAAGCAGAAATACACACATACACAAGTCACGCTGGCATCCACACTAGTCACACAGTCATACACACTTGTCACTTTGAAATACACTCACTCAAGTTATTCAGGCACACACACAAGTCATGCAGGCCATGTAGGCAAACACACAAATCACACAGGCAGGCAAACACACAAGTCACACAGGCATAACACAAGTCATGCAGGTATTCACACATGTCACTCACGCATAAATTCAAGTCACTCAGGCATAGACCCAAGTCACGCGTGCATACTCTCAAGTCGCGAAGATATTGGTGTAAGTCACCGAGGCATACGCACAAATTACGTAAGGCATGCATACATGTCACGCAGGTTACTCAATCATGTAGGCATATGAATCACGCGGGCACACATACAAGTCACGCAGGCAGACATTAAAGTCAGGCGGACATACATGCAGGCACTTACACGCGCGCGGACACACACATACACACACATACACACACACACGCACGCGCACACACACACACATACACACACACACACACACACACACAC